ACACGCAGCCAGAGCAGCCTGTGTTTGAGGATTAGCTGCCTCTTACTTCTCGAGTCCTTCCAGAGCCTGACCTTTACGAGGCCCTCGGATAAACTCGGATGAAATCCCGCTCGCCGCCTCCCTGCGCCCCAGACGCCATGAGCGGGCTGCTCTGTTCAAACATCCCCGGCTCGTCGCCGCCAGGCGGCCTCTGCCCTTTTGGTCTCGCCCGCCAGTCACGGCCGAGCTGCTCGCTGCAAAGGGCGCCTCAGAGAGGGGGTGTCGTCTACCTTTTCCTTTGCTTCCTCACAGCCAGGGATTTTCGTGATTCTTTCCAATCCCCTCGGTCATCAACCGTCAGGTAAAGAGGGTTTAAGAACAGCAGTGGAGCCCAGCGGCCTGGCTCAGGGTTGAATGTCGACGTAGGAACCAGGAGGTCACGGTTCGATTCCCGGTCAGGGCACAGGCCCGGGTTGTGGGCTCGATCCCCAGTGTGGGGCGTGCAGGAGGCAGCCGATCCATGGTCTCTCTCATCATTGATGTTTCTCTCTCTCTCCCTCTCTCTTCCTCTCTGAAATCAATAAAAAATATATTTAAAAAGAAAAAAGAGAAAAAACCCCGGTTAGCTTTATAGTCTAATTTTTTGTCGTGTATCGGGTGAAAGACAAGCAGAGTGATCCTGTTTCTCTCTGTCGACACTGTTCCTCCTGTGTGTCTGATGACAGTGGACGGCACACGCTGATTTCTGCAGCGCGGGCACCGCACTGGCTCCCGTCTGTCTGGTGACGGCTGATGTGGCGAATGTCCCCGTGCAGTTGTGGCTCTTGAGGGAGACGGACAGACGCCGCCGAGGTCGGTCGTGCTGTGTCCGCATTGCCTCCTTCCCGCAGGAGAAGTCACTAACAGGGAAACACGAAATGCTGGGAACGCGGAATCCGACAGATTCCGTGTGGAGGAAGGAGAATGACTTCGTCTCGAAAGGGACTCACTTCTCTGTGGAGTACCCATGCAGCCAGAGAAAGTGTCTCTTTTTGGTCCCAAACCCATTGTTCGTGGTGGATGGAATGACACCAGAGGCAGCGCACTATCCTCTGTGGGTTTCTGTTTGGCCTTTTGTGTCTGCGCGGGAACGGAGTGTGAAGGACCCCTTGAGTCATTCTACTCCGTGCAACGGGGGGACAGTGAATCTCCCCGTCCCCGAAGGTTGCATAGGAGGAGACGGAAGGTGGTCGGAGGGAGATGGGACAGCAGTGCGGAGGCGGGTTCTCGGGGGAGCTCTAGAAATACCGGAGCGGGGTTCCCAGAAGCGCTCGCTCCCGTGGCACCGTCCTCGGGGCTGGCAGCATAACAGGCGGATCAGGTCTTCAGCACGTGCGGGGCTCCCGTGTTCTCTCCTCCCGAGGTTCTGAGCACAGCACGTCGGACCCAGCGCCATCGGTCGTTCTGTGGCTTTAAGGGAAACGAGGTCATAACACATCAGTTTCTCCAAAGGCTGATGGACATAAATAAGGGGGCAACCAGTGGAGCGCGCTCTCTCTCTTTCTCTTTTGCTCTCGCTCTCTTTCTCTCAAATCAATAGAAAACATATCCTCAGGTGAGGATTGTTAAAAAAAAAAAATACTGAGTAGCGGGAAAAGAATTTCCAGGAAATTCAGTTAGAAAACAAATCAGTGATCAAGTTCAGAGAAAACAAAAGAGCAATTTAGGAAGAAAATGTAGGCAACAGACACATTATGCATGAAGACAGCTTGTTTACATAATGATAATATCTGTTGCAACAATCTCTATATATAAAAGGCTAATATGCTAAGTGTTCCACCACCCGTCGGACCGGTCGCTATGATGCACACTGACCACCAGGGGGCAGACGCTCAATGCAGGAGCTGCCGAGCTGCAGTGACTAGGCAGCGGCGGTTCTCGGGTGACGCACCCTGAAACCAGAGAGGAGGGAGCCCGACTCCTCTCGGGGCCGTGCGATTCCACCTTCGGCCGTGGGTTATGTTGCTGCTGGGGCTCTGTCGGCCCTGAATCTGGTTAACTGCATACGTGCGTTTGTGTTCCACACCCTGTACGACAGCAACTTTGCAGAGTGCCTCTCGCACTCCGGACCCCTCACTCCGCAGACACCCTTCGAGCCACGGCACCACCCCAGGTGCGGCCGGCTGGGGAGGGGCCATGGGCGTGTCAAGCCCATCGGGCCCGGTCCCACCCCGCCGGCCACCTTCTAATTAATTTCCTTTCAATGTGCATGAACCCGTGCCCCGGTCGTTGGTACGTGGATCACTAAATCGTGAATTTCAACCTCGTGCTGCAGTTTTTAAAAGATCGGGGTTGGGGATGGCGTGTGGGTGTGTTTGTCTGCGTCTGTGTGTGTCCCAAAGAGCTCAATCCTGCAGCAGGAAACAGTCAGGAAATAGCCAAATACACTTACTGTTTATGAAAATAGAGTGGATTTCAAAGGAACAGAGTTTGAAGGGGTGGGGGCCGGAGCCCGGGCTGTGGGCAAGGGACTGCTGGTCAGAGCGGGGCTTTGAGGAACTTTCTTATGTCCGTGTCTTACATAAAACAGATTATAGAGTTTTAAAGGTCCAAGAGGTGGTTATAACGATGATAGAAAGAAGAAAAAATATGATTTTTAAAATAAAAACTGAAGACCAGGAAAATGTATGCCGACTATTAAACTGAGTGTTAATGAAAGGGTTTTTCTTCTTCCTTTGGCTTATATAATTTTTGAAATTTGAAATTGGCCCAGCTGGTGTGGCTCAGTGGTTGAGTGTCAACTAACCAGGAGGTCACAGTTCCATTCCGGTCAGGGGCACGTGCCTGGGGTGTGGGCTCCATCCCCAGTGTGGGGCGTGCAGGAGGCGGCCGATCCATGATCCTCTCTCATCGTTGATGTTTCTCTCTCTCTCTCTCCCTCTCCCTTTCTCTCTGAAATCAATACACATATTTTTAAATAAAAAATAAAGTTTGAAGTCGATGGGTGTTACTCGGTGCTTCTGCCGCGGGCACCGCCGGGCAGCACTCGCGCAGCCTCTGGAGGAGCAGTTTTCCTTGGCAGCTGGTGGAGGGCGAGGAGCCCTTTCTCATCGTTTGCTGAGACGTCACCCCACTTCCGGCTTTGTCAGGCCTCCCTGTGAGAGATGGGCACAGCCCCGAGCGCAGAGGGGTCTTGGGGGGCGTCTGTGAGCTTCCCTGGTCACCCCAGGGCCCCTCCTGGGGACACGGAAGCCTGCACTGCCCTCCCGGGAACACCGTGTCCCACAAGCGGGCTCCCCCCGTGGGCACCCCGAGCTCCGCGCCGGCCAGAGCCGCCCTGACACTGAGTGTCCTTTGTGCTCCCAGATGTCCCTGGGCTCCCAGGTGGACCTGCAGAGGAAGAAGAGGCGGGCACCAGCGCCCCCGCCGCCCAGCCCCCTGGGGCCCCG